ATCTTTATTTATGCGAAAAGTCTATTCCACTTATTGAGCAGAGCTTCATCATCATCCTCATCGTCGTCGTCTTCTTCCTGCCAACTGTCACCGTGCATGGTGGGAAGACGGAGTAGGAGCACAACAAACGCTGGCTCAAACCATTCGCAGGTTTTGTCGGCGCGTGAGGGCAGAAATAATCGAGTTGGTTAATGACGGCTGCAGTGTCTGTAGACACTTGAGCAGGAAGAAAGCTCAGCACTCGAATAGAATGCGCGTATATTGAGCGAAGGGAAGAGGGTCGTGGCTTTTGGCATGGCCATGAGGTTGTTAGACCGCTCAGCCATGGTAATTTGGCCACCTGAGCAGAACGGTTATCGGTAATCAGGCGAACTAAGCAGCGAACAACGTCTTCCTTTTTGTGCTACGTACCCTCCGTCCTCCTTGGTAAACCTGCAACGTCAACCATTACAAAGTGATTGGTGCACCAATAAAACGTTTACAGAGACGACATAACTGAGCCAGCAGCTGGAGCTCTTTCCGCCCTACAAAGAGGTTGCAGAAGTAGACGTTTCTGCTAATAAACATGCGCGTGTGTCCAGAAAGTTAGCACAGTCTAGTGTGGATGGCATTCGGCGCATTTTCACACCACCGACAACCACATGCAAGTAGCGCCATGAGACATCTCAATGGGTGGAAGAAAGCGTGTATTCAAGGTGAGGAAGGAAGAGATTAGGCGGTTGCATGACCTGAAGCCCAGTCCACACTCACAAGACCATGTCGAGTGCCGCACTCAGCACCACACATGCAGATGTTCATGTAAACAAACCACAGTATTGTCCACCTCCTCCTTGGAGCGACGTCCTCTGCGCTCCCCTCTACCCTCTCCTCTCACGCAGCAGCCATCGCAACATATGCACTGCCGCAAGGCAGTGTCCACGAGTCAGCCTCACCAGTCATCAGCCTCCATAAGACCGAAGCATTGCATTTCGCCTTCTCAGCGCCTTCCACTACACCTGCAGTTGCGTGGGTTCTGACATCAGGGTGCAGGTGTAGGTGGGTCTGTTGACGAATTATCGTGTGCAGAAGTAGACGTCGGAACACCGCACTGAAACAGAGGCTTGACAGGGAAGATGGGATCGAACACAGTCTCCTTTGGAAAGCAATTCGACATGGCGTCACCTCTGAGGAAGGAAGGATGGAAGGAAGGAAGGAAGGAAGGAGCCAAAGCGGAGTATTTGCAGATGCATCATGGGGGTGCCGCTTTGAGCTTGTAATAGCATGTCGGTGGCACACAGGATGTGGGTAGAGGCAAACGCAGACAGCATTGGCACAACTGTTTCATTTGGAAGGAAATGGAGAATCTGCAGCCTTAATTAAGCATTGGGTAGGAACGTGTGTGTGTAATTTGAGGGAGGGGAGTGGAGAAGGGGAGAGAGAAGGAACATGTGCACTGAAGCACTGTCAGTTGGTTGATGCGATGTTTCACTTCTGCCCTCAAAAGCTTTCGTTTGGAGAACACGGGAACAAGATGGGCGTGGTTTCCACCTCCTCCGTTCGCCCTCCGCTGTCACCAATCGAGCACCTTGATACGTTATTACGGGGAAGAGCAGACCCAGCAATTACCTACAAGAACATTCACCACTAGGCTTGGGGATCAGGAGTTATGGCATGACAGTCAAACAAAGCATTGCACAAACGTTTACTGATGACACCTGTCTAATTCGCCGTGACGTTACTGCACTTTGGTAGCAGCAATGTTAGCATTTGGGAGAGTCATGCATCTCGAAGTGCCTCTTCACGATGGTTTGAAGGGATTGGACAGCGTTGGCGATTACGCTGACTTAGGCTGCAGGTTTTTGTGCCATTACCCTTACATGACGAGAACGGGGAGGATTTGTGCAACCTTAATTTGTACAATTTCCGACCGAACATGCTGTACGTGTATGACACCGACGAACTCTTGCTCATCCAACAATGATGGCACAGCCAAGCACTCACACATGCTCTCATTTCGAGAATCCATTGTGCGGTCCTAATGCAAAGCCCATCTTCCCCTTTCTACACTTGCAACCAACCTGGACAACAGCAACGATTTTGCATCGTTCTCATAAATGCAATTCACCTACCAACACAACACGTACAAAGACTATCGCATTTCAGGTTTCACGACAACGTAACGTGTGAGGGGAGCAATTGTGGAAGTTCGAGGCACGGCAGTCACTCGTTGACAAATGGGCCGAGTAGGGAGAATTAAGACTGGTCTAAGATTCTGTAGATTAGCTGTTCACGTGCAAGAAAAGGGTTGAAGGTGACAAGACTTTTCTGCTTTCTTTTTAGGGTTGCATGGTTGCACTTCTGCTAGGTCCTCTGGACAAAAGCAATGTGGTGAAAAAAAGAAAGTCCAGCGGAGCTCTCGAAGTAGCCAAGACCTCGAGAAGTTCTGTATACGCCTTCGATAACAGTGAAGATCTCCCATCTCCGTCTGGAGCAGCTAACCCTGAAGGCATCGAATCATACGAACTCCATTCACCACACTCCAAGGTCGATGATTCCATCTTTGCTGACAAAAGAAACAATGAATACACCAAATAATTGGACCCTAATAACCCTCACACACATAAACGCACACATGATGCGTATTTTTGCATCAGCACCTGAAATGACTGTTACCGCTCACTCCATCTCGACATGCCAACACCGTCACTGCAGCCATTTGTGACCTCTAACAGGTGTTGCTGTGGCGTCACGAGACGACTCGTCACGAGGTGGATGAAGGCGTGAATGCGTGCACACGGGGGGGAGGGGGAGAACAAGGGACTGCACTTTGGCTTGACCAGAAGTGCAGCCTGCGTATTCAGGAGCACAACGAGTGTCAAAGGCATTATAGGTGGTTAACTAGACAAAGTACTACAGGTATTGGCGCGTGGTGGGAGCTTCGCAACCCACTTCAGGACACGCCTTGTAGGAAAGTGCCAATTTGGC